CTGGCACACACACATTATTAAGGCTTTGAGATTCTTGCTTTTTCCCGCTTGTCAGATCCAGTCAGTATACTGTCCTCAGATAATGGACTGGGGTGTTGTTCCGATTCAATCAAGGCCCCTGTGAGTATGATTGAGATAGCTGGGTATTTAAAGCTATCAGCCTTGCCTGTGTTTGTCCAAATATTCACTCCCCCCAACCCCAATAATGAGAGCCCTATTCCTTCCCAGCTAGTCTCCCATCTTAGCAAAAGAGACCTGGTGGTTTGGTATATTTAAATGAAATAGCAATTCCAACTCCTACTATCAAGCCCTGCCCTGATTCTCAGCCATGTCTGCCTTTCAGCTACATGAGATGAGGAAATCACACAGAACCACAGAGAATTTCTGGTTCTCTACAACTGCCTTGGGTTGGAAATTCAAGACTTTATGTTTATCATTTTCTTTACATACACTCTCCAGAGCAGCTGTAGGTTGTCATTTCCCCACTCCTGACATCTTAGTAATCACTAATGTCACCATGGCAATTAAAAGTCACAGCCATGTTCCCACTAGCGCCTTGATCTCTATCTTCATGCGAGGCTGCTATTGGTGCTAACCCGAGTAACCGCGATGCTGTGCTGGGGTCACCAGTGTTTTCCATTTCTCTGGCGCCATGTGCACCCTTCAAAGAGGAGCAGCTCAACCTCAGAGTCCAATGCTGAGGGTCTGTTTGTCATGCCCCATACCTGGTACCAATTACTTCCTCAGCCAGTGTCCCAGCAGCAAGCACAGCTCACACATGAGGCCTAGTGATAGTTTAAAACAGGACTAATCCAGTTGCCCCCAGAAATGCCCATCAATCTGTGCTGGCTGCAAAGAATCAACATTTTCTTTTATTAACTACACAGTATTACCTTTCACAGGTAAGTTTTATAAGCCATCTAGAATTCATTTCTATATATCATGCAGATTCATTTCTTTCCATAGAATATATCATGAATCTTCCTAAAAATCATCACTGACTTGTGATGCCACCTTTATCATGTATCAACTTTCCATTCACGCAGATGTCTGTTTCTAGGCTCTGCATTTCATTCCATCGGTCTATTTGTATGTTGCTTTTACTATTCTGGCTGTGTAGTCTGCCTGAATACCCGGTAGGTGATTCAGTCACCTATATATAGATGACCATATATAATGTATGTATAGTGTACATATGTATCTATATAGTATATATGTATCAATATATATGTGTAGATGACTATATATATATACATCTATATTCATGTCTGATTCAGTTTTATTAAGATCTTCACACAATCCTTCAAGCTCAGTTACCAACAGATGATTTTAAACTATCATCTAGTGAGGGTAAAAGGTTATCTTGAGCACTTCACTTTGCTGAGCAAGGTATACGACACACAGATAAGCTGAATTACTCATTGGTCGCCTGTGATTTTCCTTCTCCACCCCTTTCCTACAAGGTGCTCCATCTCTCCTTTCAATAGAGACTACAGCCTGAATTGTGTCCTCCTCCACCCTCACCTCACCACCCCCCCACCCCCAAATCCATATGTTGCAGTCCCAATCCCCAGTACCTCTAAATGTGATATATTTGGAGATAGGCTCTTTAAAGAGGCAATTAAGTTAAAATGATGTCATCAAGGTAAGACCTAATCCAATATTACTGCTGCCCTTATCTTATATGAAGAGTAAATTTGGACACAGAAATGTGGAGAGGAAAGACAATATTCAGACACAGGCAGAAGCTGGCCATCTACAGACCAGGGAGAGTAGCCTCAGAAGGTATCAAAGCAGTTGACACCTTGATCTTGGACTTCTAGTCTCCAGAATCGTGAGAAAACAAAGCCACCCAGTCTGTAGTACTTTGTCATGGCAACTCGAGCAAACTAAAACAACCAGGTATTGAAAGAAGATCAGTTTAAAGAGGTGCACCCAACTTCAGCCGAGTTCTCATGCCCATATACCTCAATCTTGCCCTGTCCAGATCTATGGTTCTAATTTTGGTCTTTTTTCTCAGGAGTAGACTTGCTTATTAACCAGGGTTTGACCTTCCTTTGCAGATATCTATCTAGAACCTGGAGCTCAAGTGCTCCAAATTTAAGTCCTGATGTTTCCTTCAATTCTGCTGTTCTCTGGTTGTCTCTGTCTTATCTAATGGCCATGGAGAGGCCCAAGAGTCACCCTAGACCTCTGCCCCAGCCTTCCTCTTGAACACACATCCATAGAGTCCGTGTATCCCACACGGGATCTTTCCTCAGGGGTGTGGCGGCTGTTATCCTCTTCACAGGGGAAGAGTGATTGGTGCTGGAGGAGCAAGAGCCTGAGCAGAGTGAGACAGGCCTTGCGCTCCGCTCCCCGGCTGTCGCTGCCCTGTCCCGGGCAGGGTCTGCACCCCAGCTGCGGGAGTGGAAGCCCCAAGGGACGGCTGAATCAGGCTCTGTTGCCGTCGACTGCATGCTCTGCCCCAAGGAGGCAACGACTGTAGCAAGTGAGGCCCTGTGCTCACAGAGGACCTACGCACTGCCTGTGTAGGCATCTGTGGGTCAGTTCAGAGGGAGCCCAAGGCCGCACCCCTTCTTCGGCGGCACTTGTCCCAGATCTAGTGCAGAGCTGTGGTGTGGAGCAGGCGCGGGCTGGGCTGGAGGCAAGGTGGCTGTAGGAATTGAGCTGGCTGTGCCTCTGCCAGAGATCTGCATGGTCTCCATGGCAGTCTTTCCAGTAGCCAGCTGCCCCAGATCTAGCACTAAGTTGCAGTATGAAGCTGGGGGGAGCTGGGGTGCTGTTGCTGGGAGAGGAACCACTGTGTGCTCCTGTGGGCATGGACACTGGCAGCCGCCACCCACCCGGCTCACAGTCCAGAGCCCCTGGTCTGTCTCTGCATAGCTGGACTGAGTCATTTCCCAGGGCTCAGATCTTGGAGCAGGCTGTGGTGTGGGTGAGTGCGCCTTCAGTGCTCACCCTGTTCAGAATGGGAAGTGCAGCGAGTCAGCTGCTTCCAGAATAAGGCTCTGGCTGCTTTTACTATTGGCAAGCCAGCACACACACACTCCTCGTGCATGGAGTCTAGGCTTCACCAGCCCTTCTGTCTGTCCCAGTGGGCCTCTGGCAGTCACGGAGGCTTGTCTCCTCCATGCAGGGACCCAGGACTGTGATGTGCAGGTGAGGCTTGGCATGCTGGCTCCTCCGGGTGAGGGCCTGTCTATGTGAGCCTCCTCTTCCTTACAGATCCTTCCCAGGGGTGCGGCTCCCGACCTGATACTTTCTTTTGTCCTATCTGGTAACAGGAAGGTCTTTCTTGCAGCTCTGACTGTTTAGGAGTTCTTCTGCAGATCTGGTTAGTTTTCTGTGAGATTCATTCCACGTGTACATGTATGTTTGATGTGTTTGTCAAGGGGATGTGGGGTTCCATGTCCTCTTACTCCACCATCTTAATTTATGACCTATTATTTAAATTAAAAAGTTCTAATTCCTTAGCAAGGCATTCATGGTCTTTAATAATCTGGTCCAACCTACCACTTCAACATTTTTATTACCACATCTCCCTCTTCCAAGCACCCTTTACACTTGCCACAACAATAGGTTTGTTTTCACATCTTCCAGTACAAAACATACTCTCACTCTTAGGTGTTTTTGATCTCTGCCTGCGATGCCTTTCATTCCCTATTTTACCGTTACACTCTACACATCCTCTGGGACCAAATAAATAGATGCTTTCTCCAATAAACTGCCCTTGGAAATTGGCATTCCCAATTGTGATTGGCAGTTTCATGTTTTGCACCTCCAATTATACCTTTTGAATCCCATTTCTTTCATATTTATTATATTTGTTTTAGTTTGGTATCTCTGGCCCTTTCAAGGAAGTAGGAAGCTTTGTGAAGGGAAGGGCAATTTTTTTGCTCATTTTTCTATACCAACCCAATATATAGTATAGGGCATTGTACACTGTAGGGGATCTTTAAATAAGCTGAACGAGTATAAGAGTTTGCCAAGTATCAATTCCATATGAGTTTCGAGCTTGAAAACATGTTACCATTTAATTAACTTTAGTTCACTTATTTTGTGGAAAATATGACTTTCTCACTCATAGATCCAAAGGCTCATTTCTCTTTTGGCTCTAAAGCAGCTGTTAGAAAATATTATGAAAAATGAAGTGCAAGTTAATCAGAGAAATGAAAATTAAATTTTCCTTGAAATGTCCTCAGAATTAAAATTCAGAGAAACTGTGCAGAAGGCAAAAACATGGTTGCATTGGCCAAGTCTAAAATATTTTTAGGAGTATTTTATGGTGATTCTTCATCTTCTCAAGGTTCAGACACAGCCTATGGAAGCAGCAGGTCCACTTTCCTGAATCTACAGGAAATGCTATTTGGAGCTTAAGGTGGCCTTGCAATCTGAGAAACAGTATAGTAAAACACATAGCACTTGAGATGTAGCCAACACTAAGTAGATTCAAAGGCTTCATTATCTTTACCCTTTCCCCCAGATATTTTGAAAGTAGGTCTGGTGTAAGTTCCATTTACTGCTAGGACCGGATCCCATGGAGTCACTGCTTAACCATTAAACATTCTCAAGTTGTGGGATCCTTGTGCCTTAGATATAGTTGTTTTTCGTTTCTTGCTCTTTTTGGTTTCTGATCCCACTTATAACTGTAGAGTCTGATTAGTGTCGGAGAAACAGAGCCTGTTCTAATCTCACTGTCTTACAGACCACTGTGTGTGGTTTTTAAGGACTCTTTGGCAGTGCCTCATATAGACCCTCAGTCTTTAGAGTCCACAGTTCGAAGAATGCTGACTTTAATAACTTAAGTCAGCTTAATGAAGGAAATATTACAGTTATTTTGCTCTGACAGCCTGAGTTCTGAATGCTCCCACTCCTTAGTAGTTGATAAGGCTAGATTTCTTAAAACTCAACAAGGAGAATCTTTTAGTGGTAGTTAAATGAACTCCACATAGAAAATTTGACAGGAGAATGTAAAATATTTGACAACCTCTACTTACTCATACAAACGCTCTCCACAGATGTAGATTCCCTTTCTCCACCGAATTCCATATTAACTGTAGAATGAATAAGGAAAATCTTATTGATTAGAGAAAATTCAAATAATGTTATAATATCTCACTTGATTCTCACAAATATCCCTATGGGGTAGGTATAATTGGGTAAAACCATGGGAAACTATCATTTGTATTAGTCAAAAATGGTTGGCATCAGCAATTTCACATAGCTAAGTTTTGTTATTATTATCTCCATTTTACAGATGAGAAACATGAAGTTTGGAGGTCAAGTCACGTGCTGAAAGTTACAGAGCTGCTAAACTGCAGAGCCAGACATAGAACCTAGGAGACTAAGTTTGAGTGACTCCAAAGCCTTGTTCTCTACCAGGCTGTACCGCCAGGTGTGGATCAGGCTGAAAGAAGAACAGATGCCTGCTTGTCCTCCCTACTCACTGACACAGCATAGAGTTGGCAGCATTCCTTGTTGTAGTCATGATTCATAAAGACAGATTCAGATTGTGCAAGTGTATATGTTCCAGTTTCCTCCCCTATGAGCTTTAACTGTGTTACATGAACAATGATTTTATAGCTCTTGACCACGGGGATGAAATTGCTTAAGATACGGATGGCAAATGCCTTAAAAGTGCTTGTTTTATTTTTTTTAAATTTGTACTGGAATATAGTTGATTTACAACACTGTGTTAGTTTCAGGTGTTCAGCAAAGGGAATCAGTTACACATGTACCCATATCCACTTTTTAAAAGAGTCTTCTTCCATACAGGCCACTACAGAGTGCTGAGTGGAGCCCTCTGTGCTGTTCACTGGGTCCTGAGCAAAATCACTCAATGTAACCTTTACGTTCCCAAGGCTGTGATTGGCTGGAAGCTTCTCACACTGCCTTTGGTTTGTCTCTTATGTTTCCCCCCTTAGATTATGAACTACTCAAGTACAGCTACCCTTTTTCCTTTGAGTCTCCTTCTCAATTAGCACACATAAATGATAACTGATGTTTAGGACACTGGTATCAGCCTGGAAATGGTGGTGGCCCAACTACAGACAAAAATATTGCTGCCTAGATGGAGCGGCTCAATCAAAAGGTTTTGTGCACACGCTCTTGCTCTAAGTAGGGGCTATGTATCCCTCATTTCTCTAGTTTTACTGTCCCTTTTGTAGGGTTGCTTTTCATGCCTTTGTCTTTTACTTATGCAGCTCTGTATCTACAGCCAGTTCTCTCCACCCCTGCCCCAGGCCTACAAAATAAGGGCAGTTAATTTATGCATCAAAAGTCTGATAGTACACAGAAGGTCATTCATTGCAAACTAAGGGACCTGTTTAAACACTGGTGGTCATGCAAATTAGTGTGATTGCTGGCCCAGGGCCTGAGAGAAACTACGTTGAGCTGAATAGAAACCAAGCTATGAGAAGATTTAATTTTAAATAAGGTTTGAAAGTATACGTCTCCGCTCTGGCAGCAGATTTTTTTCATGGCGCTATTGTGAATTGCTACCAGTTGCATGAAATGAATAAACACAGATAATAGGGCTATGGAGACTGGTTGGGGGGCAAGTCTGTAGGAATAGCGTTGTTAGTAGGGGGATAGATGTTTTTAGTTTATCTTCACTGTTTTGTTAGACAACATGAATTATTTTGAGATGTACCTTATTTATTTTATAATTCTACCACACCTGCCTCCCTCACCTCTGAGACCAAGAGAAGGAGCAACAGATTCCTTTGACTCTGACTCTCTGTTCTAGTCTCACTAGAGTTTTGTTTTGTTTCTTTAATTGAAAGATACTCGACGTATAACATTGTATAAGTTTAAGGTGTACACCGCGTTGATTTGATACATACAACATGATTATATATTGTAATATGAGATTACATATTATAATATGAGATTATATATTGTAATATGAGATTACATATTGTAATATGACTGCCACTGTAGCATCAGTCGGCAACTCTGTCAGGTTGCACAATTATTATTTCTTTGTTTGTGGTGGTTATAATTAAGATCCCTTTCCGGTTCTCAACATGCCAGAAAATTTGGAAAACTCAGCAGTGGCCACAGGACTGGAAAAGGTCAGTTTTCATTCCAATCCCAAAGAAAGGCAATGCCAAAGAATGTTCAAACTACTGTACAATTGCACTCATTTCACATGCTAGCAAAATAATGCTCAAAATCCTCCAAGCCAGGCTTCAATAGCATGTGAACCAAGAAGTTCCAGATGTCAAGCTGGATTTAGAAAAGTCAGAGGAACCGGAGATCAAATTGCCAACATCCGTTGGATCATAGAAAAAGCAAGAGAATTCCAGAAAAACATCTACTTTGGCTTCATTTATAACACTAAAGCCTTTGACTGTATGGATCACAACAAACTATGGAAAACTCCTAAAAAGATGGTAAGACCACCTTACCTGCCTCCTGAGAAATCTGTATGTAGGTCAAGAAGCAACAGTTAGAACCGGACATGGAACAACAGACTGGTTCCAAATTGGGAGAAGAGTATGTCAAGGCTGTATATTGTCATCCTGCTTATTTAACTTATATGCAGAGTACATCATGAGAAATGCAAGGTTGGATGGAGCACACACTGGAATCAAGATTGTCAGGAGAAATATCAATAACCTCAGATATGTAGATGACACCACCATTATGGCAGAAAGTGAGGAGGAACTTAAGAGCCTCTTGATGAAAGTGAAAGGGGAGAGTGAAAAAGCTGGCTTAAAACTCAGCATTCAAAAGCTAAGATAATGGCATCATTTCACAGCAAATACATGAGGAAACAATGGAAACTGTGACAGATTTTATTTTCTTTGGCTCCAAAATTACTGTAGATGGTGACTGCAGTTACGAAATTAAAAGACACTTGCTCCTTGGAGGAAAGCTATGACAAACATAGACAGTGTATTAAGAAGCAGAGACATTCTTTGCTGACAAAGGTCCATCTAGTCAAAGCTATGGTTTTTCCAGTAGTCATATATGGATGTGAGAGTTGGACTATAAAGAAAGCTGATGCTTTTGAACTGTGGTGTTGGAGAAGACTCTTGAGAGTCCCTTGGACTGCAAGGAGATCAAGCCAGTCAATCCTAAAGAAAATCAATCTTGAATATTCTTTAGAAGGACTGATGCTGAAGCTGAAGCTCCAATACTTTGACCTCCTGATGTGAAGAATTGACTCATTAGAAAAGACTCTGATGCTGGGAAAGATAGAAGGCAGGAGGAGAAGGGGATGACAGAAGATTAGATGGTTGGATGGCATCACTGACTCAACGGACATGAGTTTGAGCAAACTCTGGGAGCCAATGAAGGGCAGGGAAGCCTGGCGTGCTGCAATCCATGGGGTTGCAAAGAGTCAGACACAAATGAGTGACAGAACAACAACAGTGTCACTACACTGTACATTAGGTCTCCAGAACTTATTTATCTACTGGATGCAAGTTTGGCCAGAATTATTTTTAAAGTTGCTGTGGATAGTTTCCCTTAAAACTGGTCTTCCTCTATCTTTGACTGGCCTGCCTCACATTTTCAGACAATGGACACCTTGGGCAATTGATAGGATGAAGCTTGAGATGTTCTGCACTTGTGCAGTGAATAACAAGAAGTGGTGCAGTCCCTCTGAAGTACAACCTTTGGCTAATCCCTCTGAAGTGCAAACCCCACTCCCTTTAGTTTCCTTATCCTGTTTCTAGCTGGCAGCCACTGCTCAGTATCTCAAAGAGATGGCAACCGGATTTGGCGGGACTTCTCTAAATCCCAGAGTCAAGATATTCTTATGCTCGTATGACTCTATTTCCACTTACATTAATCCTTTAGTCTTATAAACGATATCAAGACAGTCTCTACGTTGAAACAGCTATGGAGGGTATTAAAAAGTAAACACAAAGCTTTCACTGGATGACAGCCTTCTTTGGGTTGGCTTTTACATTCTGATACAAATATAGAAGAGGGCATATAATGTAAATGCACAGTAAAAATAATAAAATGAACAGCAATGTACCCTTCACCTAGTCTGAAAAATAACAATGCCTCCGAATCTAACATAACAATGCCTCTGTATTTCCTTATGCCATGAGTCCTTCCTAATCCCATCACCTCTTGGCTTTCAGAGGTAACCACTATCCTGAATAGTTTTATTAGTTTCCTTGCTTTTCTTTGTGGTTACACCACATTACCACATATATATGTATCCTTAAATAATAAGTCACTTAATTTCATGAGTTTCTGAATTGCATATAAACTGAGTCACATGTAAATGTATGCCTCCGTGGCCTTCATTTTTTTTGCTCAACATTATGGCTTTGAGATTAACTTGTGTTGTTGTCTATAGCTGAGTTTTATTTATTTTTATTGTTGTATTTAATCTGTTGTTTGGCTGCATTTTTTTTTTTTTTTTTAGCAACATGGAACCTTTATTTTAATGTGGTTACTGTACATCTACAGTATTGGAGTAATCCTTTTACAAATGGAACAAGAAGAAACAATGACAAAACCAAACTGGCATTTGATGTGAATCCACAGGAGTTTAAGCTTCAAATCCAGCCAAGAAGTTTGTTACAATCTCTTTCAGCTTTGCATCTGACTCTTCTGAGATCTTTCCATCGGTCCTGATTGTGCCCAACAGGGCTTGATGTTGGCTGATAACATGAGACAAGAAAGCATTCTCAAATTTTGTGATCTTGCTGGGCTCCAGCTTGTCAAGATACCCCCTGACACCCGCATAGATAACAGCCACTTGCTCTTCAAAAGCCATGGGAGAATACTGCCCTTGCTTCAGCAGCTCAGTCAAACGCACACCACGACTCAAGAGTTGTTGAGTGGCAGCATCAAGGTCAGAACCAAACTGGGCAAAAGCAGCAACCTCACGATACTGAGCCAACTCCAGTTTCATGGTACCTGCCACCTGTTTCATGGCCCTGGTTTGGGCAGCAGATCCGACACAAGACACTTGTTGATGAATATGTGGGTTATTAAATTGTATACTCTTAATAATACTACATTAAGATATTAAATAGAGAATTTCTAAATGAAATATTTGCAACCTGTTTAATCAGATTTC